GGGGGGGGGGGGGGGGGGGGAGCGGCAGGCCCACTTTACAGGTGAGGAGACTGAGGCCTGGAGAGGCAGAGCGGCCAACTCAGAATCCCTCAGGGCCCTGGCAGCCAAGAGGCTGGGCACCCCCGGGGGCCAGCACCTGAGTACCTGGAATGTGAAAAATTGGTCTGAGTCCAAAGAGGGTGGGAAGGGAAGGCAGAGCCCGGCCGAGGCCTCTGTTGGTGCCGTGGAGCTGGGCCAGCAAGGCAGTCAGACCTGGATTTGCCCCTGTACCTCCGGAGCTCTCGCTCCTCACCCCGAAGTGTGGATGGCAGGCCTCGGTGAGGGTGCAGGACGACAGCCTCCAGGGTGAGGGGTTTGCCGGGCTCTCCCTCTTGGTCTTGTCCTGCCCCTGGGCGGCCCATCCCTGGAGGGGGAGGCCGGGCACAAGTCCGAAGCTGCTGCAGAGCACCTGGGGCCGCCTCCCTTGCTGTGCTGATGGGTTCACTATGGCGCAGGCGAGGGGCAGGACATGTCTGGCTCTGTGCGGCCCCCCTCCCCCCTGCGCCACACTGGGGGGCAGTCCCAGCAGTGGAAGTTAGAGGGAGCAGCACACACATTAGCCAGCATGTTCCTGGAGGAACCCGTGTGCCGGAGCCTGGAGGAGGGCAGTGGGCTCCTGTCTGGGGTAAGTGGGTGACTGGGCTTGGGCTCAGGGGACGGACGGCATGGACACTGGCCAGCAGCTTCTTTCTGGGCACAGGCGTCGCCCTGTTCGATAGGCACGGTGGTCCAGAGCAGTGCACACACACCAGGGAAGTGATGAGAGAGCAGACGTCTCCGAGGGTGGGACTAGCTGAGCCTAGAGGAGAGGAGCTTCGCCTGGGGAGTCATGGGAGACGGGTCTGGTTCCTGGAGGCCCAGTGCTGTTCCCAGGCCTGGGGCACAGAAGCGGTGATTGGCCAGGGCAAGCTGCAATGGGCAGGGTTAGGTGATGGCCCCTTGGCCCTTCCTGATCCTACGGCCTGTCCGTCACAAAAGCACAAACTAGCCCTCATCCCCACAGGCCCGGCCCTGGGGCGAGTGGGGACGCTGGTGTGGAGCTCTCCACGCTGTCTGTTTGCAGGGCTCTGCAGAGTGGGGGTTGGCAGGCACCTTAGTGTCTGCACAGATGGACCCACGACCAGCCAGGGGTGTGGTCCACCCCAGCCAAAGCCTCTTCTGTCGTCCGCCCCCCTGCACCAGGCAGCACCCCAGAAGGCGCAGTACGCACAGTGCCAGTCTGTCTGCCGTCTTCCCTTCAGGTCCTTTCCCCGGAGCCTCGTTTCCAGGGTCCCCTTTGCTGCATTGTGTAAGGGCTTGGGGTCTTAGAAGCCGCTACACATACTCTCTTTGTCTTTGTGCAATAATCAGTGTTTCTGGTGGAGCCGGGTTGAGCTGGGGCCGGAGGAAGAGGCAGAAGCCACCTCTTCCGGGAAGCCCTCAGCCTGGCTCTGCTGCTGTGACTACTGCACTCCCAGTCGCTGTACAGTTTCTATGGTGTGAATGAACCTCCCTCCTAGTTGCTGATGGCGCTGGTCCCTGCTGGCCCAGATGGCCTGGGCACAGAGGAGCCCTGTGGCAGCCGCCACCAGTGTTGTTCCGAATAAAACCCAGAAGCCTATTTCAGAATTCCTCTGCGTCTGTGCTGTTCTTTCCGCAGGTGGGTGTTGAGCTGGGGGGTTTCCCAGAGGTGGGGTCCTCCTTCAAGCCCAGGCTGGGGCCTGGGGTGTCTGGGACCTAGACAAGTGCCCATGGCAGGGACCTCTCATGGCCGGGGTATGGGTCAGGGGCTGCTGGGCTGGGGAGGAGGCAGGGCCTGGATCTCATGCTCTGGTTCTGCAGCTAAGATGCTGGACCTGGGTGATGGGTCACACGGGAATCATAACCTACTCTCTTTGGCACTATTTCCTGAATTTGTATTATGGGTATTATCAGGACTCTCTCGGCTGCAAATAACAAAACAAAAAAACAAAACAAAACA